TGTGTGTGTGTGTGTGTGTGTGTGTGTGTGTGTGGTGTGTATGTGTGTATACGTGAATGCGAGTGACTGTGCATCGACACGTGTGCGGTGCGATGACGTTTTTCGTGAACGTGTATATGTTCGTTAAATCCCACAGCTTCGGCCTTACTCTCTATACTTGCATATCATATTTACAGCCACACCACTTGTTAATTTCTCTCGCGCGCTTCTCGAGGCTGTTCTCCCTCTGAGGAAAAAAAGGAAAGAAAAAAGCAAGGGTGAGTCGAAGGAAACGCGGGCGGACATTCGCGAAGAATCTCGCTCCTGCGAATCTTCGTCGTCGAATTGATGTATATCGGGATTTGCGATTTCCAGGAGCGACTCGACTTCGCGAAGTGAGCTTCAACGCCTTCAACTCCTTCATTCCACGTGTTTCACAGACTCGCGACACCACCGGCTATTTCTCTCTCGAGTTCCCTGTACAAGGTACGTGATGTTATGTGACATTTAAACGTTAGTTCGCAATATGAAACGAAAGAAGAAAAAATCTCGCGTCGATGATGACTGATAAAGAGAGAAATATCGCGATGAACTATTTATATAATAATAATAATAATAATAATAATCGCCTTCCCCGATCAGCATATACTCATACATACTCATTCTTTCACGCACACTCTCCCGCAACGTTCTATTATATCTCGCCTCTCTTCTTTCCGCTTTTCTCGGTGTATGTTTTTTTTTTTTTTTTCTCTTACTTATAACGCTACATAGAAATATCTTCGTTCTGGGTCCCGCACAACTTTGTATCTCTCGCAACGACGATGGCTCATACGACGTGACCGTCCTCGCAGGACGACGAGGACTGCGTTCTCTGAATGGGAAAGGCTGTCTCCCGAGGAAAATAGGAGGATGCAATTTCAGTGGCTCACAATCCCATATCTCGCTCACTTTCCTCTCTGGATACATGTAATCATCGATAAATGCCACCTAGATTTATTGGGAACATGGGATTTGATGAACAATTTATTATTTTATTAATCCTTAACATATCAAGTTACTCTTTTTATGATTATCGTACAAAATTAAAAGATTAAAATCAATGAAGGGGGTTAATTACAAATTAGGCGTGTATTGTATTAGTGCACGTGTTTTCGTCTAATCGTAGTGTTTTGTAACCAGAAAAACAGCGGTGAGTTTCTTCTTTACGCATCAATCGTCATCAGTATGCACGCGTGCGAATGTATATATGTATCGTGGATTCGAGATGCGATGCGATCAGATTTATACAAGTGTTACCACCGAAACGTGCCCGAAGTTACGTTCCCAGCTAAATTCTACGAGATAGCGGCGATCGCTAGTGCGAAGTGCAGTCCATGGGCTTGTATATGTTCCTACCGTATATGAGACGTGGGTGTCTAAATGCTGTGGGAATAAGTCTTCGTACGTGTTTTCATGTGTTAATGACTTCTCTGGTACGAGCATACTTCCGAGCGTGCGTCTCTATTCACTGGGGTAGCGATCGGAGAAATTGCGATGGCCTGATATGCATACGATTTTTTTTTTAACTGCAATTCGTCGTGCTACGATGCGCCTAGCGGTAACAATTATTTAGCGTTTGCGTTTACGAGGATAACAATTATCACCAACGATAATAATTATTAATACCGTCGTTATTCTTGGTTTAACAATTATCACCGCGCTTCTTCTAGATGTTGTGTAAACGTTATTGCGCGCACAACGACCGACTACGATCGCGCGTGGTTTCGATACTATTGCACACCACTGATTTTTCGTCTAAGTGCTATTCCTCCCCCTTTGTCCTCCCCCCACCCCTGGTTGAAATCTAAAGGACGGTCGCGGTATAAGTATTTGTCGTATCGGCTTCGTGATCTCCGAGGTGCTGCAAAGCTCTCCCGTAAAGCTCCTATTTAATTCGCCATAAAAAATAAACTCCCTATTGGCCGTCGTGTAAACGTGCGCGCATGTGTTTGCGGATTGTCCCTGGATCTACCGCGCTCGATTGGCGCACCATCGCCAAAATAAGAAAACGCGATGACGTCCGTGGAATATCCGGTCGCGGTGCTGGCCTG